CCGAGGCGGGCGACGCGAAGCGGGGCCGCGCTCCTTCTGCGCCTGCCCCGCTGCGCTTTCTCCCTGTACGCTGCGGGTTTAGGGTTTCGGGTTGAAGCTTTAAGGCTTGAGAATTAAAGTCTCGGGTTTAAGGCCTATGGGCCTTGGTGGGCTTTCGGGTTGCTGCTTTCCGAAGCAATGCACCTGCTTCAAGCACAGCCGGGCCGAGGCGGACGACGCGAAGCGCTAAAAATCATGTTGTACTATGCAACATTCTGTTGTGGTATATTACAATACATTTAAGCACAAACATAGAAACAAAAACAAACATGAACACATAGAAACAAATGAGCATAGATACACAGGTACATAGATACATGCATACATACATGCATTGTATTATGATATGATATACTATACTAGGTTATGCTATGTTGCATTAGATTACCTCAAACGTACTTGCATACATACAGACATACCTACCTGCATACATACACATGCCATGCCATGCCATACCATACCATACTATACTGTACAATACAAGACAATACAATACAACCACACGCATTACATTACATTGCTTTACATCACATTATGTTACGTACATACATACATACATACAGACATACATACATACATACATACATAAATACATACATACATACATACATGCATACATGCATACATGCATACATGCATACATGCATACATGCATACATACATACATGCATGAGAGTGTGTCTGCACGTCCTTCAGTGTTGATTTGTTAATGGTCTCGTAATAGGAGTCCGTGCGTGCTGTTTGCTTCTTTTCCCTCTCTCACTCGAACTTTCTAATATAACTCAGTCAACTTATGCTCTCACCAAGCAGCCCGACTCACTCCTTAATATAGCTATTATAAACCCATTATATAGCCCATTATAGGGTAGAGGTCCCCATTAAGGGTCCCTGCATGCCTTGGCAATAAGGTGCGCTGCCGTGACGCGCTCGGGCAAGGGCGGCCCAAACTGTTCCTCGTCAGTGCGGACCAACTTAGGACCAACCCTAATTAAACCTTAGGTACTGCCCCTATACAGCAAGAGTCTATAATAGGGCTACTATTAAGGTCCTAATATATCTATATCATGGATATTATTCAACTATTACTGAGTGGGGGCCGTACCCAACCTAAACCCAAACCGCAGACATTAAGCCACGAATCCTAAACCCTAGGCCCAGACCCTAACAACAGGGGTTCCTCCAAGTCTGGTTACGTCTAAACTCATTGATTGGTCTTCGGGTTTTAAGGCCATAGCTACAGAATGAGTCAGAGTTATGCCGCCGAAGGTTCCCAATGAGTGACAGCGACGACAATGACGAACACGATCGACAACGACAAAGACGACACAAAGACGACAACGCGACCACGACGAGGACCACCAGGCCACAATGACACCACGAAACAAAGACCAGACCTCGAGGAGACTACGAAACCGCCTGGAAACCGGAGATCATCAGCACACCATAGGGGCCTGAATGATTACAAACTCTCGTTTGGGGGATTCCTTTTTGTAATCATGGTACAATGGGCCCCAAAACTCTATTCTAATTAAGGCCCCTATAATAGCACTACAACACCGCCAGGCATCATATGGCGTATTCAAAGAGATGACTACCATGCTTCCCTCCATGCACGAGCGGCATTCAGGACCAGGGCGCTAATGCTTCCCCCTATATTGAAGGGAACTGGGATGCTTCACGACTGCATTCAGGCATTTCGAAGCCAGCATGTGGCCAGTGAGTGGGAATTCGCAATGGACGGGCCCCACGGTTCTGTGCAAATAAACGGACGGATACGGGCGAAACATATGGGAGTTTCCGAAAAAAAAAAGGGACCCGAATATGGTACCCTAAACTACTAGGATCCTTATTATAAGGACCCCAAAATAAGGTACCCCTAATTTTCAGAAACTCCCATATGCACCAAGCACACCACAGCAGAAGCCGCGTCCCGGGAAACCTCCCGTCGAATCTCTGCTCTGAGCAATAGAACTTCATGGCGTGTACCGCGCTGTCTGGGGAACGAGAAACCCTACCTGTGGATCCGAAAACCTACCGTTTTAAGGGTTAGACCCTCTAATTATGTAAGGGGTCATAACCTACTATTTTGTAGGGTTTGGGGCTACAGGTAAACCCTTACTAGTATGGTGAGGTCTCCACATGAAGGGCCGGACTTGGTGACAGTAGTTGCCCTACTCCACCCAAGCCCTAGGGGTGACAGGATGACAGGGTTTTGGGGTGTAATTACTACACTGAGGTAAAAGCCAGAAAGTTGGTATATGATTATCCTAACCCTTCTATGGTAAATTTTAGGGTATCCTACCATGGAACCATATTCCAACTTTCTGGAGTTCCCTTTAAGGGTTTTGTAAGGGATCTATAGCTAGGTCCTATTAAGCCCAAGAAGGGGAAATCTAAAATGTCCCAAAGGCCTACCTAGGTCCAAATAAACAGAAGGTATGTTTTAATTGTATTACCATGGCAGCCCCGTGTGCCAGGAAAGGCTTTGGAGCGCACTCTAGCACCCATGAGGCTCGCACTCGCTGGAGTTGGAGTTTCACCTGGCTGCAGTCCAAAAATTACAACGGCCTTGCGTATTCTATGAACCATGATTAATATCATATCGGGTGGAGGGGTGGGCTATAGTGTCTTAGGCAAAACCATGGAGCAAGCATATTCTCGTTCATATCCGTCGATGCCTCGTTGCAGTCTGTGTCGAAGGCCGGATTCTGTTTTTCCAAAGGCAAACTGGAACAACAACCCCACAATCCCGTCATCACCACCGGCATCTGCCCTTTTGCTGATGACACACACACAGGGTTTTGCGTCCCACTATACTATACTGACTATACGTATAATAAGGAACCCAAAATAGTATAGGTAATTCTCAAGGCCCCTATATTAAACAGCGGGGTCCTTCATCTGGCTCACATGCAAGAAGCATGGCCTTCTTAAGGTTTTCGGCTGCAATCTCCTTGAAGACCGGGTCGGTCACAGCCGGCGGCTCCTTCGTGAAGAGGGCGGAGGGAAGGAGAGGATTAGGGGTTCAGGGTTTTAGGGTTTTAGGGTTTTCTGGTTTGGGGTTTAGGGTTTAGGGTTTGGGTTTTAGGGTTTAGGGTTTGGGTTTTAGGGTTTAGGGTTTGGGGTTTGGGGTTTAGGGTTTGGGGTTTGGGGTTTAGGGTTTGGGGTTTAGGGTGTAGGGGTCAGGGTTTGGACTTTTATGGTGAATGCCTAGTTATTAGGGTCACGATTACGGTACTGCAACAAGGGAGTCCCTTTAAGGGTTTTGGGCTTCGGGGTCAGTGTTTGCAGGATGTTAACTGCTAGAGGTTTTGTCCCGGGTTTTATCCTCCGTGTGGAGAACAGAATCGCTCCTACTCGTTCAGCCCTAACAATGTCAGTCCCACACACTGCATGGGCATCAGGGAACTCCTGAGGGATCCAGAAGATGTCTTCACGAGCCTATTTCCCAAAACGCCCACAGAAACTAAACACTAAACCCCAGTAAACCCCAAACGCACCAGCAAATTGGGAAGCTTTCCCTAAACCATGAATGGGATTCGCCGTGCAGGGGTGCTTGAATTTGGGTTTAGGGCTTAGAGCCTAGGGAGCCACGCTGCCTTGGCAGTCACAGGACGTCCACGCCTGCAAAGACGGCAAGCCCAAAGCAAATCTCCACCCTAGAGCACGCCTCCAACAACCCTAAACCCTAAACCCCCAAACTCCCAACCCTAAACCCCTCAACCCCTAGACGCCTAAACCCCTGCACCTGAAAACCCCTTCGCTGACTCAACGAAGAGTCTTAAGAGGCTGGTATAAACCCCGAGGCCCTAAAACCTAAAACCCTAACACCCCAAACCCTAATTATACCCTAAACCTTACACCCTAAACCCGAAGCCCTCAACCCTAAACCCCCTAAGCCCCAAGCCGTTTAACCCTAAACCCTAAACCCCCTAAACTCGACCAAGAGACCGGGATGCCAAACTTTTCAAGGCATATCTTCTGCACGAAGTCGGCCCCACCCCCGATGAGCTCGCCCTGCGGCCAGCGACGGCTGATGATATAAATCCTCCATTCCCCATAATAAGGAATATATCATACATCCAATAGTTTAGGGTCCTTAAGGTAATGCAGGATTTATATCATCAACAGTATCACCGTTGCTCTGGGTTTAGGGCAGAGGAAGGCTGAGGGTTTTAGGGGAAGAGGCTCGGCTAAGGGAGGAAGTGCTGGTATCAAGTTATCAAGTCGGGTTTAGGGTTTAGGGGTTTAGGGTTAGGGGTCTAGGGTTTTGGGTTAAGTAAGGGTTTAGGGTTCAGGGTTAAGGGTTTAGGGTTAAGGCTTCAGGGTTTAAGGTCTAGGCCGACTCCAGGAGATGACAAAGTCCAAGTAGCAGCAGCAGTGGGAGCTGCGAAGTCCACATCCGAAAATCCGAAACCTCAAGCCCGAAGCGAAGCTCAAACCCTAAACCCTAAACCCTAAACCCAACCGGTAAACCTCTGAACTCAATCCTCCGGGCTCCTTCAACTCCTTGGGCCCAAGCTGCCCTCAATCAACCCTGCACTCCACATCCTCCGGCCTCCCTAGCCGTACACCCAAGAAACAAGAAAAGAGTCTTCCACATCTCTGTGACTCGAGGTCTGACCCTAAACCCCTAAACCCCTAAACCCCGAACCCTAAACCCGAAACCCCTAAACCCCTAAACCCCGAACCCTAAACCCGAAACCCCTAAACCCTGAACCCTAAACCCCAAACCCTAAACCTCTAGACTGAAGTCTTGGATCAAGCCTCGAGGGTCCACACCTCGGGAAGCCGCGGAGATGAAAGTCGGGGCTTTGGGCTCTGTGCTGCGATACCCAGTAACCCAAGAACAAAAAGGCCTCTCTTTTTGGTATTGGGCAACTTTATAAGGAACCTAGGACTACAAAAAGGGAATAAGGGTACTACTGGGCATCCTAGTGTGGCAACCATCTTAGAATTTTGGGGTTGGCTGGGTTCCTGGGTAGCCCCTACATTGGGTACTGCCCCCATACAGTAACAGACTATAATGGAGCTACTATTAAGGTCCTAATCTAGCTATATTATGAATACTAGCCAACTGTTACTGAATGTACCCAACCCCTACATAATAAGGGCACCCTTTTTCCTACTATACGGTGTTCACAAGGAGGCCCCAAAATCAAAAGGGCAAAAGGGTACTACTCAGGGATTTAGTTAGTTGGGGTCTGTGAACGAGGGCTTCGGAATGTGTGGCTTCGTCTTGCTTCTCGTGCTTCGATTTGGGATTTGGAGCTTGGGATTCAGGTCTTGCGAAAAAACTCTTCAAGCTTAGAAGCTGTGTGTCAAATTGTTCGACATTGGATTGTCGGACTTGCGATTTCGGCCATCGGCACCACCACGACTATGACCATTACTGCTTAATACCACTGCTACTAATACTTCTTCTGTTGACATCAAGAGCAAGAACAAGAAGAAGCAGGATAACATTGAGAACAAGGCTGATAGGTTTTAAAACCATGACAGTAGAAGCAGCTAAACAATGAATGCTGCTAAGAATATTTTACGAAAACACTTATAAACAAAGTGCATAGTTAGGACCACCAACATCATTGCCATCAATGAACTCCTGTGATGGCGTGTCGACTGCATGCTTTCGTGCAAAGCCCATGAAAGCCCGTCTTTTGCTCCCGGATGAGCTTCCGTTCCCTTGGCCTTGGGGGTTTCGAGAAGGGCTTGGGGTCTAGGGATTTGGGATCAAGCAGGGCGGCTTCGCATCAGGAGCCCCGATGATCCATAAGACTCTTCCTGTATAGCTGCCACACAATTCCAGTATGGCATTGACGTGCTTCACATTTGTTGTCTCTAGCATGTTCCTTAGTTCCAATACGATACACCGCAGCAACGCTAGTCTAGCATCGTCACCCACATAAGCTGGCTGAGGTGGCGACTTCTTACACAACCCACAACCCCACAGAAACCACGAAAATTCCAAGGCCTTCCAAGACCCATGCTAGAGGCCCACCAAAATCCTCGGCATAGCTGCAGAAGTCGTACCTGTCTGCAGAGGACTTAATACGCTTAGGAGTTGGTGAAGTTGAGGGGTTCAGGGCAGGCTGAAGAGCTTGATTGCAGCATAGCAACTTGAGAATTGTCTGACTCTTCTGCTTGTCATGTCCATGTCCATGTTTTTTAAGCCAGTGCGAGCTGATTCTACATACTACGGTGAGCTTCGGAGGGTCATCTAACACAGAAGCTTGAATCATTACCAGTATTGGTCCTGATAGGGTTCCTTCTTCCGGTTGGTCCATCTCATTTACATACAAAAACATTACCCTCCAATTATTACGGCTACTGCGGGGCCAGCCTCATTTCAGCAGAAACTGCTCTTCTATCCGACTCATGATTTTGACTGTAGGATTTAGCGTTAAGGTTCTGGGCTTAGCCACTTGCTCATCCCGGCCCCTCAGTGAGTGTTCAAATCAGGGCCGTAAACAATATGATTACCTAGGAGCGCACGTTCTGCAGACGCTGTTGATGAAGCTCTTCCAGTGGTCTGGATGTTTCATCTCCAGCTTGACGTAGATATTCGGCACGAGCGCCTGCGGAGATGGAGCATGGTGCTGTGAAGTTTAGGGTTTAGGGTTTAGGGAAGTGGCAAAATGCATATGCGAGTATCTACAGTTGGGATGCATATGAAGCTGGAAGGAATGCAGAGCCAGGTGGCAGCACCTGCAATTGCTGCAAAGCCTTTACCTCCCGAGGATGTGCCATGCCCACCATCTATTCTAGTACCCTTATAGATCCCTTTATAGTAACCCCTATACGACGCCTGTAAAGGGAACCCTAGTCTAAGTCTAAGTCCAGAAGAGTCTGCCTGCACCTGTCCAGCAGCATACTCGGCGCGTGCGAAGGAAGGGTCATCAGCCTGAGGCACGAACACATTCCCTCACGCCGAAAAACCATCACTTGCAGGCGCCCCCCGACTCTCTGAGACGTGTATGTGCCTTATATATTCGGAATGATTAGACCAGGCCTTTAGAGTATCCTTCAGTATAAACACCTAGGGACTGTGAGCTCATTTCAGCACCTTTAGCTTCTGCAGACTGTTTTTTTCATCGCCTGCCTTGCCGGCAATCACGAAGGAAGCCATGATGCGCGTACTCTTGCGGCAGGCCAACAGGGACAAGTACTGAAGGTGTCGTGTGCTGGTCATGGTCAGGCCGCGACATGTAATGCTGTGCAGGTCTTACTTTGCTGGGTGCCGTGTGGGACATCGGTGAGCTCCAAGTGCTGCAGACAAGGGCAGGGAGCAGAGAAAGGCAGTCGCATGAATCGGCAGAACGGCCGTTCACGCTGCTGGTGATGACGAAGACAATCACGATTTTGATGGACATGATGGCGGATGATACACATGCTGATGATGATTAAGAAGATGGTAAGGATTATGACCGTGATGATGGTGGTGGTGGGATAATGGCGATGTCGTGACACAGAAGCCGTGGATCGTTTTCCGTTCGAATTGCACACATCAGACATCCCCACCCCTCGCCGGCAAGGTCTGCCGGGGAAGCCTAACCTGTCAACATCTCCTGCACGAGGTTCTTGGCTCCGTCGTAATCTCCCATGAGCCAGAGCATGTACCGCACATCGACACCCATGCTTCGGGAGTAGTCTTTACTCCACTTGAACTCATTCATGAGACCTTGGCGCTGTCGATCAAAATTGATTCCCACAAGCTCTCCGCTTGCATTCATAACGGGGCTACCCGAGTTGCCACCGACGGTATCCGTCGAATAGAGAATGCAAACAGGGACTTTTTTGCAGTTCGAGCTTGGTGACGAAAGCATGTCGTAAAGTCGATCTGGACACCCGAACTCGGCCAGCCGTCCTTCATCCTTGCTCAGCTTTGCCTCCACGGCCTTGTCAAATAAACCAGCCAAGGTGGTTTGCGGCTTGCAGAGGACCGCGTCGGCAGCTTCATAGCCTTCAACGAAGCCCGCTGAAAGTCGCAACGATCCATTGCAATCGGGATACATGACCTCACCGTCACCTTAGCTGCTTAGTTCATAACTTCTGAAGGAAAACAAATAGTATCTCTGAAAATGTAAGTTAGTTGAGTTCTATAGGAGAGAGAACAAATGTACCCCGGAAGGTGGACTGGAAAGTGTACTCAAACAGCTACTAAGTCACTGTGCTTGCGTTGAAGCTCGAGAAGTTTGGCAAACAATGCGTCTCGCTCACTCAACAACGCCTTGGAGCGATCACGGTTGCCTGCGTAGGCCTCCCAAAGGGAGCCCGCACACTTGACAAAAGGGTCTTGAAGCAGATTTCCTTTCCGATCTTTGGCAGCGCCATCTTCGGCGAAGATCGATTTCATCATCTCAGGATCTGACAATGCTTTCAACTCCGTGCTTTCTATGGCAGACTCCATCTTCGAAAGATAAGACTCGCCTCCAAAGCTCGCCACAATCTCTGCGAAAGCTGCCTTCAAGTCTGGCGTCTTCTCCAGGGTGGCCAGTGCATCTTTGACGAGTGCCGCCTCATGTGGCTGATGGATCTCACCCAAACGCTTGGCGAGGCGCTGAGCCAGAAACGGGAGATTGCGCTGTCGATACGACGACTCTCGTTCTGAATCTGGCTTGGGGCATTCGATGCTGAGATATTCATGGAGCGCATGTCCCACGGCGAGTAGGGCACTGCCACAGTAGATCCCGCGACAAGCCTCCAATGCTGTAGAGACACTTTCCATGGCACGCAGCTCATCATAAATCTTGCTGAGACGATCGAGGGCCTCCTTTGCTTCAGGCGCCTTCGCACAAAGAGCCGCCTCTTCCTGCGAGCGCTCCTGCATCAGGCCCAGCTTTCGCATCATGACCAACTTGCCTTGACTGCGCTTGTACTCATTGGCCAAACCCTTCCTGGGTTGCAGTTTTGGGGCTCAGAAAAGTATTCATGAATAGGTACTTTTGTAGGAACCATAAGGAAAATTGAAAAGTTTCCCAAATTGCCACCTAGCTTCTTGCTGGTTCCTAACTTCAGGGCTGCCTCTTCCGAGTCCTTCTCATACTGTGCGATCAACTGGAGCTTCCGTGCGAAGTCCGATACCATGTTGGGGACGGCAACCTCATCCGAAAAACGGAGCCTTGAGGTGGGTGCATACCTCATAGTCGAGCCTGGGAACCCCAGCAAGAATATGAAATCACCCTCCGTGGCACCTTGCTGCTGGACTTTCAGAAACGTCTTGGGCTTGTAGGGGACGTTGTCAACTGAATATTCAGCAGCCATTCCGTCGGGGCCCACGTATGCTCTCAGCAGGGTAAAATCGGCCGTGTGCCGTGGCCATTCGAAGTTGTCCGTATCGCCACCGAAGTTGCCCAAGCTCTTGGGCGGGACGTACACGATCCGTACATCCTTGATTCTTTCCTTGGTTGGCCCTGTCACGCGTTTGAAAGCATTACAGTAGTGAATAAGACCCTCTTAGGCCTAATTATTAATAAATAAACGCAAACAGATAAAATGTCCCAAAGGCCTACCTAGTTTCGTAGGTAAACAACACATAAGACTCATTGGGGAGCATCTCCTGCACGTCGCATCGCTTTCCACCATCGGCTTCTCCCGAAGACTTGTCCTCTTGCGCAGCTTGGGCAATCTCTTGCATGACGTCGCGGACACGATTGGCACGCTTGAGCGGATCCTGTTCCGAGCCAATCACATCTGTGACCTCTTTGGACACGTCCTTGCAGGATTTCGTAATCCAGACTTCGTAATTGGGACCCTTCAGCTCTTCCTTCAAGGACTTGGCCACGAAACCATCCCGCACATAGTCGTGACTGCCTTGCAGCGAAGCTTGTCGAACGGCATCATAAGCAACATGCCAGTTCGTGAGAATCAGCCCACTGGAAGAAACGAAGGAGCCGGTTCCACCACGACCGGCCGCACCCACCTAGCTTGGCCCTCTACAGCCTTTGGAAAAGCTTCACTAAGAAGGATTCTCCTAGGCCAAATCAGAGAATAAATAAGAATGCTCCAAAGGCCTGCCTAGCCACTGAGACCAGAGCATCTGAAAAGTGTCGACCTGCAATGCCTTCACTCTTGGAAGTCCCATCAATGGCATCAGCCGACACCTTGAGGCCCATTTTCTGAAGCATAGGCTCCAGCGACTTCACCGCCGTTATCGGCCATGTCCGAAATCGCGGGGAGGAGGCCATGCCAGAAGCGACAGCAGAAGCCGCAGCAGCAGTCGACATGGTTTTGGATGGGTCACAACCTAGCAACAAAGACTCTTTCAAACAATGCGTAACACAGAAGAAATGGAAACACAAGCAGCATTGAAAATCATGAAGATCAAACGCTAGAGGCAATTATGCAGGACACGCGAGAGGTTTGGACTTAGATCGTAAAACACCTCTGCATTGCAACTAGAGTTTAAAGTCAAAATGCTCTGGAGCGGGCGATACTCAGCAATGTCAGCATCCAGCAATCAGTAGATCGCACACACAGCTGAAGGATGACTCCATGCCGGTCCATGCCCTTGATTTGAACGACATGTTCTATGAACCGGTGCTAGACGAGGTTTGCCCGTCCGTCCAAAATGCATTCGAAGCCTTGCAACCACCCCTGCTCCAAATCCCTAAACTCCAGAAGCCCTAAACCCTAAACCCTAAACCCTAAACCCTAAACCCTAAACCCTAAACCCTAAACCCTAAACCCTAAACCCTAAACCCTAAACCCTAAACCCTAAACGCCCTAAACCCTGAACTTCAGAAACACCCCCAGGGGCGCTCCCTAAAAGACGCGGCAGCGATCCGCCGTAGGAGGTTGGCCTGAGTACAAAAGGGGCCTTAATAAATGGCCTCAATCCTTAAGAGTAATGGTTTAGGGTTTAAGGTTTAGGGTTTAGAGTTTAGGGTTTAGGGTTTAGGGTTTAGAGTTTAGGGTTTAGGGTTTAGGGTTTAGGGTTTTCGAGTTTGGGGTTTGAGGCTTAGGGTTGACGGGTGTAGGGGCTTAGGGTTTAGGGTTTTGGGATATAGGGGCTTTGATGATAAGAATGGGGTTTCGGGTCCCAGTATACTGCACTGATCATAAGGAACACCCAAAATAGTGTTGGTAATGGTCTAGGCCCCTATAGTAGGAGAAAACATGGTGATTTAGGGTTTTAAGGGGTTTAGGAGTTCAGGTGGTTTCGGGTTTAGGGTTTAGAAGTTCATGAGCCTTTACATGAAACTCAAATTCGGGTTCTCAGAGAGCTTTACGTGCTATATTTCGGGCTATCATACGACTCTACATAATTAAGCTTGGAGAGGCTTGTCATCGCCGATACTGCAATGGCACTCCTCATCAAACATGCGAATGCACACATCTACGCACACATCTGCAGTCTCCATACCCATCTGTATGTTTACACGATACATAACCCATTAGAAGTTACGGGATGCTCTATACACTCCAGAAGACATTCAACCTCAACCTCTTCACAAGTTTGCATCGCCTAGCAAGACATGACTTTTTCAAAGCTTTGCCTCCAAACCTTCAGCCGGAGGCGTGTAAGTTTGTGAGAAGCAGCAGAACCGCACTCCTCACTTAGGGTTTAAGCGAAACCTTAAACCCACTTTAGGGTTCGGGCAATTCAAGGCCCACAGGCCTTCGATGCACGCCGGATTTTATTCCGACAATGTCAGTTTCGGCCCGAAATAGCCCCATTTGGCACCTTATGGTAAAGAAGTCCTTATAGATCCCATTGAAGGGAAGCCCCTTCAGGGATCCCTTCAAGGCCCTATAACCTCAGGACCGGACACTGTGCCCAAGAGGGGCGTCAGGGCAGGAGGAGTGGTAGGAGCTGGTGGCCTGGATGGTGAGCCCGAGACACGGAGCAGCTTGTGATTTAGGGTTTAAGAGTTCAAGGGTTCAAGGTTTAGGGTTTAGGGTTTTCTTTTTTAGAAAACTTGGTACACTTCTCGATTTGTGTAGGGTTTAGGGGTTTAGGGTCTAGGGTTTAAGGGTTTAAGCGTTCAGGGTTTAAGGGTTCGGGGTTTAGGGTTTTGTGATTCAATATAGGGGCCTCAATAATTTGACTAGGGTTGTGGGGTCTATACTATACATATAATAGAATAAGGAACCCCCCAAAATGGTACAGGTAATTATTTAGGCCCTATAGTAGGGCTTAGGTGTTCCGGGTTTAGGCTCTAGGGTAAGTATCTTGTAAGAGTTAAAGGGTGAATGACTTTGGTGTAAGGTTTTTTGGCATTGCTGGCTGCACTCGGTAGAATGCAATCCATCATGCCGAATCTGTCAGCAGTGTAAAGTTTAGGGTAATCTGCATCTTTGACTTGGTGCGTACATCCACTGCAGTCTCCGTAGAGATACGGATCTTGCCGACTACCTGGCTTTCTTGAGCGCCTCTCTCTGAATTATTAGTCAGCTCCAAAAATCTGACGCACCACGCATCGTCGTTCATGCTTGCAGTTCGTAGAAGTGGTCTCAGCATCGTCTTCGTCACGTGCAAAACCGTAAACCGTACTTCATGCAGCAGGCACCACAACATCCGAGAAATCTCGCCGAGACTAGCGTTTGCATGTGGCACATCATGCTTGCTGCTTTAGGGTGAGAGTTAGGGGGTTAGGACATCAAGCTCGAAGCTTTGGTTGCGCGAGTCTGAGTGAAGGTAAAACGATGAACTTTGAACTTTCACGGCCTGAAAGTTGGACAGCCACACTTAGGGTTTAGGGTTTGGGGTTTAGGGTTTAGGGTTTAGGGCTTTCCACAGCTGCTTAATGAGCGACCTGAACCCTAAAGGCTGCACACTCCAAGCTCTCAATCTCCAAGGGTAAGAAGAGGGAACCTTAATAAGGACCCCAAGGTATATACCCTTAATATAGCCATTATATACCATGCCCATCATATAGCCTATTATAGGGTAGGGGTCCCCATTAAGGGTCCCTCCTTATCCCCTGTGACAGTCGCGGCTGAAGAGCACTCAACACTACCCCAAACCCCCACGCCCCACCAAAACCCAGAAGACCTAGTCTTCTACATCAAACCCTCAAATCATTGAAAACCTGAAAGCATAAAACCCCCACAACACTATGAAGCCCCAAAGCCCTATAGAACTCAAAAAACACAAAACTCCCACTGTTTAGAAGCCTGAACTCGTAACCCCTACAGCGCAACAAAGCCTGAAACCCAAAATCCCGAACACCGTAAATGCGACACCCTAAACCCTAAGCCCTCATAAACCCTAAACCCTAAGCCCTAAACCCCTGATTCCTGTCTACCCTCAAATGGCATGCCGAGCGGTCCTGAAGTTCTCCGTGCCTCAGCAAAGCACTGGCATTTAGCTTCCTAGGGTTTAGGGTTTAGGGTTTAGGGTTATGTGGTCATCCATGCGGTGCGTATATACATAGGTACATATGTTTGCGTTCGTGTATCAGTTGGTGTAGTCGCATATTATGCTGTGTTGTATGATACTGTATTTTCTTATATTCTAGCACTACCTTACGTGTACTAAATTACATGTGGTTGTACTGTAGTATAGCCTACTCTACTATATGATACTGTATGATAACATCTGATCTGCTATTACATTGAAGTATGCTACAGTTTTTTGGATCATGTTGTTATGCGTGCACGCTATTGCATGTGCAAGCCAAAGTATGTGTATGTATACATACATACATACATACATACATACATACATACGTACATACATACATACATACATACATAAATACATACATATATAGGTACATACATATATACATACGCACACTTGCAACTCTTTTGTGAGCCCTTTGCTGTGCCTATATCGCATGACGTCTTGTGATAGACATGGCTTCTACAAGTGTTACTTGGAGGTTCATGGGTAGTTATGTTCATGGTCAGCTAAAAGTATGGTTATGAAGTAACTATAGCCTTATTAGGGGGCTTATAACTTTTACAAGAGTTAGACAGGCCTGATCATTGCACAGGGCCTTTTGTCATTGTCGGGCGGGGCTTCTAGGGTTTAGGGTTTAGGATTTACGGTTTAGGGTTTAGGGGGCTTCGACTGGGCTTTCTGTTAGACAAGAGCTGCAAACGCTCTCATCTTGGCCTGCTCGGCTTGGTTTGGCTTGGCTTGTCGGGGGAAACTTGTCAAACTTAAGACTCTGAAAGAGACTAATGGCTACCTGTACGTGTATCATCTGTATATATACACATACACACACACACACATATATATATATATATATTTATATGTATAGACAGAATACAGAGAGAGAGAGAGAGAGAGAGAGAGAGAGAGAGAGAGAGAGAGAGAGAGAGAGAGAGAGAGCGTTTTGGATGTATGGCAGACAGAGAAGAGAGACCGACGGTGAGAGAGAGAGAGAGAGAGAGGGAGGGAGGGAGGGAGACGGCCGGATAGACAAACAGAGCCAGCTACACAGGTAGATTTCTAGACAGATAGGTAAGCAGATAGGTAGACAAATAGACAGATAGATAATCAGAGCGAGCTGTTAGGGTATGGTATAGTTCCGATATAGTGGGAAACCCCACGGCATATACTGGCCGTTGTATCAATCTAGACCCTCAAGTGCCCACCCTAAACCCTAAAACTTATATAAACCGCAACCCCCAGGTGGGCCGACACCCCCCTCCCCTTGGAATAAAAGGACCCTAAACCCTAAACCCTAAAGGCCCTAAACCCTAAACCCTAAACCTTAAAGGCCGTAGACCCCAAAGACCCTAAACCCTAAACAAAAAAGCAAGCAACGTCGCCTGAGTCCTGGGCCCTTATGGAAGAAAGTCCCAGGCGGCCCCTGCTGTCCCAACTCCAGAGCCGGGGGGCCTCAAAAGAATTTTCTTTGGGGTTTTGGGGATTTTGGGGTTTAGGGGCTCCTTTAAAGGGATCTATAGGGTTCCTATAAGGGGTCTCTTAGGGGATTTAGGGTTTAAGGCTTCGGTTTTTGTTTGAGGGTTTAGGGGTTTGGGGATTCTAGGGGTTTAGGGGTTTGGGGTTTACGGGTTTAGGGGCTTGGGGATTTTGGTCGTTTAGGGGAGTTTGTGGGTTTAGGGGTTTAGGGGTAAGGCGTTTGGGGATTTTGGGGTTTAGGGTTTGGGTTTAGGGGTTTCGCGTTTGGGGATGTGGGGGATTCAAGATTTGGGGTTTTGAGGTTCGGGGTTTCGGGAACAGAAGGTATAGAAAGGGCTTAAAAAGGCCTTCTACAAGGGTTCTTTTGAGACCCTGAGCCCTAAACCCTAAAATCCCTAATCCCTAAACCCTAAACCCTCGTCCCCAAAAGCCTAAACCCCTAAACCCCAATCCCTAAACCTAATCCGCAAAAACCTGAGACCCTAAACCTTCATCCCAAAACCCTACCTGGACCCTAGGGAACCTGCCCTTTTTAGGTTCCCTGATATGATTTCTTTATACAGGTTACTTGGGGTTAAGGTAAGCTCGCAACCCGACTCAAAAGACGAGAAGATCCCTTTAAAGGAACCCTAAACCCCTATAGATCCCTTTATTTAAAGGAACCCTAAACCCCTATAGATCCCTTTAAAGGAGCCCTATAGATCCCTTTTAAAAGAGCCCTATAGATCCCTTTAAAGGAACCCTATAGATCCCTTTAAAGGAGCCCTATAGATCCCTGTAAAGGAGCCCTATGGAGAAGATCCTGAGCAGCAGGCTGGGCTTCTTCTCTGCCTGCGGCCGCGCTTCAACTCCCAGGACCCGAAGATTTAAACCTAAACCCTCCAGGCCCTAAACCCTAAACCCCAACCCTGAACCCAAAACCCTAAACTTAGGGTTGTTTTTTTGAGCACCTTTTTCCATCCGCCTAAGCAGTTTTAGGAATCAGGAATTCGAACCCTAAGTTTAGGGTTTAGGGCTTAGGGTGAAAGGTTCAGGGCTTGGGGTTTGGGGATTAGGATTTCAGGCTTGGGAGCTCTAGGGCTTTAGGGTTTCGGGCTTAAGCAGCCCTTTAAGCTTTATAGGGTTTGCAGAACCCTCTGGGGGCTCAGGGTTTAGGGGGCCTAGGGGATAAGGAACCCTTTAGGGTGTAGGGTTGAATGCTAGACTTGAGGATGATAAGCTCTTCAACTCGAAAATCCAGGCCCTAAACCCTGAAATGGTAAGTTTCAGGGTGCAGAGAACTAAGGAGGGCACTACGGGGAAGTGCATAAATGCCCCTTATCTTGTGAACCTCGTGTCTCTTCACATGAATTCCGGGGGGTGTGAGCTTCGATTTTTCTGAGAAGGGGTCTGCCTCGGTCGCTGCGACCTCTGCCCGGTCTTGTGCCGGACGTGGTGTCTGTCTCTCACAACCCGAAGCCCTGAACCCTAAAGCATGCTGTCATCCTTCCATGACCATCTGGACAAACTCCACAACAAGTTCCTGAGCAGCAAGAACATGTTCCGGAAAATTCATCCTTTACAGTTCAGGATCATGGATTCTGAGGTTCTGGGTGCAAGATCAAGGGGCATGCATGTCGAACGATTGACCCGTCGCAAAAATGCCGCAGATGGAAAAGTACTGTCTACGATCTACAGATCGCGGCCCCTGAGCACTCCTATGTCCCAAATTAGCCATCAAGCCAGTCTTCACACACAAGAGCTGATAAGACCGATAAGACACCTCCTGATCAGCAGCAAAACTCTGAGATCTGCCGAGGGTCAGCCACCTCACTTGGAGCCTGCAGTGGCCACAAAGCTGATGCATTGGATAAGTTTGGCAGTTCACCAGTAGGGCTTAGGGTTTCGGCAAGCCTGTGCACTCTCATCCCAAAGCCCAACCGATGTCATCTCTTCTTCCGGTGGGTTACCACCGGCCTTGCGTGCCGTTTCCAGCGACATTTTCCTTGAGTTGGCTTAACTACGGCAGGAACCGTCTGACTTGAACTCTGGACGACCCAGAAGCCGTGGCGTTCTTTCCCCTTGTCTGCCCATGGCTCGCAGCTCACTCGTGACCCGTACTCAGATTCTACATCCGACCGCCAGGACTGAGAAAGACTGGATCTACCTGCCAGCATAGCCTCTACACTCGAATTGTGGGGCCGTGCTGATCAAAAGAGCGATGACTATCAAGATTCGACGCCTCTCATGATAAACACACCCCTCAAGCCCAACTGCTAGGTCCTAGACGGCCCCTAAACCCTAAACACTAATACCAGACCCGAACCACCATGCCTCCAACATCGGAGCGTGGCCAGCTCCCTCCACTTCCACACCCCTGGACTTGGGGAGAGCCGCAACGAGCGCCTCCAGGGAGCCGCGAGACTCAGTTGCTGTATTAGTATTAGTATTCTTGTTATGTGCATTAGTATTCCTTTTATTAGTATATATTGGTATTCTTTTAGTAGTATTACTATTAATATTAGCATTAGGATAAGGAAATCAGAATTAGTATAGTAAGTATTAGTGTAAGGGTCGCTATAAGGGTTGCTCTGCAAGAGATGCTGTTTGTCTTAAGGGATTGGAGTTTCTGGATAACGGGTTTAGAGGTCAGAGTTTAGAAATGAGGGCTTAGAGTTTAGGGTTCAGGGTGTAGGGTTTAGTTTAGTCTCGAAGCAGATCCGAATGCAACAGCACTCTGCCCAGAAGCTCAATTCCTCTTGAATCAAGCAATATACCTCACAGCAATATACCTGAAATTGCAGAGGGATCTTCATTATGATTTAAAGTCTGTTGCTGAAAGAAGAACTCTATACACTCCCCTAAAGCCGTATAGTCACCAGCATACAGTCTCGTATAGTATGCCTTAACTGGATTGGCCTTTCAACACCCTGAAAGTATTTGTATATAGGGTCCCTTATAAACCAAAATAAGGAAAACAAAAAAATGTACCAAAATCAGACCTAGTTAAAGCTTACCAGAAAATGGTCATCGTGTCCCTTTTCCCTGAGGGCGAGGCTACGACCGAAGACGGCCTAAACCCTCAATGGCTCAGGGGCTATAATGTACGATAAAATACAAGAAAACTGAAAATACTGAGAACAAAAAAACTATAACATACCATGATGTACTATACTATACTATAGCATACTCTTATGTACTATCATATACCACCATATTCCGGGCATTTTGCCTGTGCAAGGCTACGGAAGCCTCAGATAATCTCTCGGCCTTCGAATCCTCAGCAGAGATGATGCCATCCTTCTCACCTGCAGTGGATTGCCGATCAAAAACTAAAGCATTTTATAGTATGTTTTTCCATTTTGTAGTACAATAGGACAGCGGTCGAGCATGTCTTGACAGCCACGACTCGTCATGTTTTTCATTCAAGTAGTTGCGTCGGTGTAACGCAGCACCACGAAGCACTGTCCCCGGCTGCACGAACCTACAGGCTGAGAAGAGTATCTTAGTTCGAAGTTCATAAACACGAAAACCAAAGTGTAAACTTGCAGTTTTGAACGGGATTTTACTATCAAGTGTACTCATTCAGCTACTGAGTCGAAGAATTGGCCGAATCCCGGGCAGGTGGTCCCCAAGCTAGCTTCTGAGACTTACAAAACCCGCTTCCCCGAGCCAGAAGCATCCAGTTTAAGCGGTTTAGGGATCGGGGTTAAGGGTTAAGGGTTCAGGGTTTACGGGTTTCGGGGTTTAGGGTGAGGGTTTAAGGTCTAGGGTGGCGTTCTCCTTCCCCTTGTTGCTCTTGCCTCGAATCACCAAGGTGGGCATGTCCACACATGTGCTCAGCTCCGCATCGGTGACATTTCGCACCTGCCTGTAGTAGGCCTTGCACCTGGGCAGGGCAAGACTTGAAAGGCTTTTGAAGTTTAAGGAGCAGTGGACTTGAGGTTCGGCGTTTGGGCATCTGCGTGCAAACGGGTCCCAATAAAATGTCAGATCTTGACGCATCGCAACTCCCGCCAAGGCACATGTACATCGGATTCGCATTGCAAGCATCTTCCTCCTGCTTCCGCAGATCTGGGTCGCAGGAGTCAGCCAGTGCCATTTTTAAGAAAGCCTCCGTCATCCCGTGCTGAAGCCGGCTCAGAAGGAACACCGGGAGGAGAAAAATGGGGTGACCTGGCGCGGAGTCCGAGATGCTAAATGCCATTTGGGATTATAGTGAGTTTTCTACAAGGTCTATAGGGGTTAGGGATTCGGGTTTAGGGTTTGCCTGTTTCCGAGCACAGAATTTGCTTGTCAGCGTGGGACAATGGTTTCTGTAATCTGATATCGCATATGCCACCATGACCAGGGTATTCCTTCTTGCGCGTCCCTCAGCCGGTCTGCCCCGTTGCCCTGTGAGAGGAGCAGTACGACCTTCATTAAAGCTTGATTGCTGCGCGTCGCTCAGTGACAGAACTGTTTTGTAAGACTTTAGTATGACCGAAAATCCTGAGTTCGTGCCTCTGAAGTACCCAAGCACAACTATGCTAGGGGCCTCTGTGGCAGTGACGGGGTTTAGCGGTTTTGGGGGGCTTCAGCAGGAACTCCAGATCTACACACTCTTAAACACTGAACCCGAAACCCCTAAACCATCCACCCTACAGTCCCCTAATCCTTCCCCTGATGAAGTCTCAAACTCCCAAAATTAAACCCTAAGCCCTGAAAGGCGTCCTGAAACGCAGCCCAACAATACCCAAAAAAACCTCAAGACTCCAAAGCGCCCTCAAAATCTCAAAACCCTAGCCAAAAGTAGTCAGAACTCAGCTTCCGCAGCCTTCCGGAAACGTCCTGGCACCACCAAGTAGAACCAAGCCAGAGATGGGCTTCATTTCGGTTTCGCGAGCCAAAGAAGCCAAGAGGCCTGGCAGTGATTCACACCGGGGCTTGGGGACTCTTGCGACAACTACAGACGCGACAGCTACCAGGTACCAATATTCGCACCTCCTATCTCTTGAATCGACCCTACCCCCTAAGCCCTGGCTGATACGAAAGGAGTTGGACAAGAAAGAGTCCGGTCCGAACGGACCAGGACTGGGCCACTTGGTCGGAAGTTCGTTTCCTCCCGTTGCCTTTTGAAGTGTGGAGAAGCCGAAGTTCAAGCTCTGCATAGACTGACAAAGGGAAACGACGTGAGGTCAGGCTACGAATGTCTAGAGAGTTTAGTGATGCCGAGAGGCGAATCACCAAGTGCGTGCCAAAGGAGTGACCAGCGACCTTTCGGTAATCCCACTATTCCCAAACGAGGGACGAAGCTGAGGACAAGGATGACAAGCACGGCACGACGACGGGATGATGACGACGACGACGACGACGGCTGCTACCACACCCATAATCAGTTGAAGAAGCGATAAGTGTACCTGAAAACACGATCGTATGACGTAGTGTCTACAACTGCAAGCACGATGCCACTGTTGCACAAGGCTTCTCATTGCAGTTCGCTACGCATCTGTCCTGCTGCCACCATGAAGCTTTTGGTTTAGTCATTGTCATATGTTCAACAGTAATACTAGGTGTTGCATATTAGGTTGTATATATTATTTCAAATTTTATCATTATATGTATATGTACATGTAAATATACATATACATGCACGCACATATATGTGCATATGATATGCGACCCAATGTACTACATTGCACTAAAGTACCCAAAGTTATACTGCCACGTATTATCTAATATGTGTGTATATATATATATATAGGACTATACTGGTGTATATATATATATATATGTATGTGTGTGTGTGTGTGTCTATGTACGTACTGCGCATACGTACGCATGTATGTATGTGCATCTCGTGTGCGCGTATGTATGTTTATGTATGCACGTTCGTGTGTATGTGTTCATGTGTGTATGCACGTGTGTGTGTATATATATATATATATATGTATATGTAACTATGTATGCATGCATGTATGTATGTGTGTTATGTATGGACGCATTTATGTATGTACGGACGTATGTATGCTGACTGAGAGACCTGCCGTGAATGAATGAATGAATGTATGCATGTCTGGGTCTGTTGGTGTATGCAAATGCGTATGTGTGTGCGTTTATGTGTGTGTATGTACGTATATGTACCTGTACATGCACATTCTTTGTGTATATGTATATGTAAGTGTATACGTATGTGTATATATATATATCTACTTCTAAAACCCCATAGCCTAAATGCTACCTGGACCCCAAAGTATGTAGAGTGATAGCCTTTTATAGGTGTTGGGCCATTATTTGACCTACTTTTGGGGGTTTAGGTAGACCCTACTTGGAGGTTCATGGGTAGTTATGAGTGGGGTTATAAGTCCCCTAGTATAGTTATCTTGCTTATGATGCCACTTATAACTACCCATGAACCTCCAAGTAAGCCCCAAATTCAAGTGTTGCCGGGAAACGAAGTGCGGCCCGGTACCACAGGCCGCCGCCAACTTCCAGACTTCTATCAGATCTGCCAGGAGCTCATCAAACGAGTAGGCTGACCAAGAGTCCTGTGGCAGACGATACTATGTATATATATATATATACACATCTACTTACATTATTTATGTAAATTATGTAGATAGAACAGACGATACTGCGATGTTGCATACATCCTACTTGCTAGCGCTTGACTGCTGCTTCTACTGTTGCATCGGTAGTCTTTACCCACTATGGCTAGGTCTTGGTTTGGCTCTCATGATTCATTCCTGAGAGCATGATCAACGCGGGCATTACCAGCAGCAGCAAAAGGAACTATCAAAGTGGAAGTCTTGTCACCGTCGTCAGGAGTGGCCGTCGTCATAGTAGCGCTTACCTGCTGAGTTCATAAGCCAAAAAAATGAACTTTTGGTTTTATAGAGCATAAAATGATCCTAAACAGTGTCAAGTGTACCCAGTTTGAAGCTTTGCGTCTTTCTGGTCAGCCCCCGGTCGCCAGCTGCTTTGTTCTATAGCTGCTTGTATTGGGGTTTAGGGCTACAGGTTTAAGGCTTATGCAGAGGCAAGAAACCGGCAGGAGTCGGTAGCAAAAGCAAGCCCAAAGCTCTGGAGTAGCGTGGGCTGAGGGCAAGGAATATTCAGAAAGGCATGAGGTTTAAGGTCTCGGAATCTAAGGTTTAGAGTTTAAGGCTTAGGAGGTTTAGGGTTTAGGGTTTAAGGTTTCGGAAGTTTAGGGTTCAGAATGTTCTGGAGGGTTTCCATGTCGATCCCCGGTCCGGCTTGTCACTGCCGCCGCAGCCGTACCAATCGAAGGTCACAATCCCATAGCCCATCTTCCTCGGAACCGTTTCAAGCGGGACACCCGAAAACCTAAAGGGGCTAATAGTTAAGGGTGTAGGGACCCCTGTACCGAAACCCGCAAAGCCCTACAGCTACAACCTTGTGGAGTTTAGTGCCCAAGTCGTAATGAGTGGCGGGCGCCGTCTGACCCTGGTTTTTGGCGTTCTTTCAGTTGCCGAAACTTCACGCTTGTTGGATAAGCAAGACAGGCTCCATTGCAGTGGGAGGTGTCTTAAACTCTGCTTTCACCAACACATATACCGCCTAAGAACCCCGACCCCAGCTCCTAAACCCTAAACCCCAACCCCTCTTGAAGAGCTGCTCCACCAAGGGCTCCACTAAGGGCAGGTACTGCGAGAAGGCCGCCGCGCTCCCATGAACCAGGAGCAAAGTTGGCCTCAGGCAAAATACGGGGGGGCCTGAAGGCCTCAATAGTGAGCATGGGGTTAGGGTTTAGGGCTTAGGGTTTAGGGCTTAGGGTGTAGGGCTTAGGGCTTATAGGTTTAGGGTCCTCGAACAATGTTTTCTGTTTTTTTTTCTGAAAGGCCTTGTAGGGTGCATGATGCGGGCCCTAACAATTAGCGGAGAGCTGTAGGTACATTGCAGTACAGCTGGAACAAGGAGCCCTAAGGAATAGTACTGGTAACGATTCCGGCCTCTATCCACAGACTCTCTAGTGCGGCTCGTCTCTTTGCTTAACATAGTGGGCCTTGAAATTTCGAAAGGGGTTTTGGGTAGTAATATACGACACCTATACTCAGGTCAGTAAAGGAAGGTCTTTTTACCATTTATTCCGACTGCCATAGTGCCGCATTCTCCCAATGTAGTAATGGGACCACAACCGCAAACTGGGATACTCGGGAAACGGCACTATCTGAAACCAGCATAGCCTACGTACTTCTTTGCACGTTCTTGTTATAAACCCTTACGCAGAATGTATATGGGGACCCCCGTTTAGGGTTTAGGGTTAGGGTTTCGGGTTTAGAGCATTTCGGGGCAAACGCAGACCCTCGAAACACGTTTATAGAAGCTCAAGCATGTACTCCGCACAGCTCCATCGGTGAACTGGGCGTAACAAACAGAGGCCCTCGACCACGGGGTGTACAACAACTTTCAGATTCAGATATGACGCGGGATTATCTTTTGCTCAATCGTCCCCGCAGAACTTACACCGGCAAGGATGTGAACATATGAAGCAGTAAGCAGCAAACCATGAAGCCTCAAGACACGAGCTGCCAGCCCCGCAAAGTCTGAACCCAAACCCCTGAGTCCTAAAAACCCTGGACCCTCAAACCTTCAACCCAGATTTCTTAGAAACCTAAACCCTAAACCCTAAACCCGGAACCCCAGACCCTCAACCCTAAACCCCTAAACCCTGATCCCCCAGGCCCCAGAACCGACGTGAACTTTGCACTGGGCTCTGCACTGCCCCGGCTTTGGGTTCAGCTGCAAGTAGTTCAGGCGACGTCCTGGTCGCACCTGGCGTCCGAGGGAGAATCAAAACAGAGGTAGGCTGCAAGAGATAGCAAGTATTATATATACACGCGTACATAACAGATATCTACATGCATACATGCATACATACATAACTTCGTAAATGAGTTCATACATCATATGTATATATATATATATATATATACGGAGTTGCGTCATCACATAGGACAGGAATAACAAGGTTGTGGTACAAAGGAATAGCAGGGGCATGAGGCCGAAGCCGGAGCCTTTGAATTTCAATGTCCACGTCACTGAAATGCAACTAGGTGGGGCTTTCACCAGAACCCTCCTTGTACCCTCAAATAGGGGTATATGGTCCCAAATAAGGGACATTTAGGGTCTTATAGAGGGTAGATGGAGGGTCTAGGCAAAGCCTTTGAAAAATATTAGTAAGTAAGGTCCTCTTAAGCCCAATAAGGGAAAATATAAAATGTCCCCAGGCCCTACCCAGGCAATCATGCAAAGTTGTCAGAGTCATCATGGCTGTAATTGATGGTCATGCTAGATAGACCTGTCTCCGAGTCACGATCGAATCCCACATCTAGCACCATAATCGCGCTATCCTTCAAACCCTACTCCCAAAAGCCCTGTCTTCAAACCCCGCGCTGTAAGCCCTAGCACTCGAATCCACCCCTCCGCTCTGAACACGTGAACCTGCAAACCTCATCAAATTTCCTTATTTATCGGTTATCCCAATCCCTACCCTAATCCCTGACCCTAAACGGCCCTAAACCCTAAACGAAACCCTAAACGGCCCTAAGCCTTACACCCCCTCAGCCCTAAACGGCCCTAAGCCCTAAACGGCCCTAGACCCTAAACGGCCCTAAACCCTAAACGGCCATAAGCCCTAAACGGCCCTAAGCCCTAAACGGCCCTAAACCCTAAACGGCCCTAAGCCCTAAACGCCCTTAAGCCCTAAACCCATAAACCCGAAACCCTAAACGGCCCTCAACCCTAAACCATAAACCGCGAGGACCTCCAAAAGCTTCGACTTCCCAAGCAATGCTCGGCCACTGCGCCAGGTGGCATCGAACTTCATCACGGACGGACGGAGTGTCTACGACTACAGTATCCTAAGGCCCCAAAGTAGTTCCATTTTGGGGTTCATATGTAGAATCTTATGAGGTAATCCCAAAAAGGAACTACTTTGGGGCCTCTGGGTACTTCTGCAAAATAGTAAAGCGACTACCAATGAACAGTGAGTGTGCAGATTGCGGTGGTTGTCATCACCGCTGTACCGAAGGTCAACTTTTGAGAGGGTTGCTGTTTTAGCAAAGCAAAAAGATTGCCTCTGCAATTTCAGGGGCTGCTCTATGATTCCATGGTTGGTCTGCATATACCACCACGACCACTACTCCTCGACTACCACTACTGACCAGCAAAGCCGGTGAGCTGATGTGCTCGGGACACATACATACATACATACATACATACATACATGCTTACATATACTGCGCTGGCATGCCAAGCAAGAGAGCGGATACTCGGTCAGATTCCAAGCTGGGCGCTCGAGCCGAAAGGTCACATTCATGTAGCACGCTTTAACTCTCAGAGTGCACCTGACAAGCCTCGGACAGACTCTTTCAAATCCCTGATCGCTTACAGACTACCAAAGCTTCGTGAACAATTTGTCAAAACAAGCTTTGTGTTGTCAGGATGACTGTCGCCTTTCCTGATCGGCCCTCTGCAGTCTCTGCTAGAAAGCAAGTCGGGGGAGAGGGCTTCCTCCTTCGCGTGGCATCTGGATCATCGGAACCCCAAACTGAAAACCCTAACTACTTTACCCAGAAACCGGAACCCCTTTGACTCCTCGTAACCAACTACACCTCAAGGGCCCTTAGCGCCTGTGCTGGGCGCGGAGGTTGGGTCGACAGCAGAGCGCCGCCGGTGTTCACCCCGGGCTCAGCGAAGGCAAGGTGGCAATCAGAATCTCAACAGCGAGAGGCCGATAGGGAAAGCGAGCGAGAACCGAAGAGTTGCTAAAATTAGCTAGCCGCCGGCTGAATGCGACAGGACCCAACGTCGCCGCTGCCGTTGCTGTGGCCGTAACGACAAGAAAAACACCACCACCTACAACGCCAACACCAACGCCAATGCCAAAACCAACACCAACTCCAACACCACCATCAACAACACCAACGCCAACACCAACACCAACACCACCGCCAACGCCAACACCAACGCCAACGCCAATGCCAACACCAACATCAACACCAACCAACATCCAACAACCACAACACCACCACCAACAACACCACACCAACAACACCAACACCGACGCCAACACCAACAACACCAACACCAACCGAACGCCAACACCAAGACCAACAGCAACAACCACCACCACCACCACCACCACCACCACAACCACCACAACCACCACAACTACAACCAACCAAAAGCAAAAACAACCAACAACGACCAACAACGACCAACAAACAACCAGCAACAGCCAACAAACAACAACCAAGAACAAGAACAACAGCAGCGCCGCCAACACCAACACCAGCAGCAGCAGCAGCAGCAGCAGCAGCAGCAGCCGCAGCGGCAGCAGCAGCAGCAGCAGCAGCAGCAGCACTAGCAGCAGCAGCAGCAGCAGCAGCAGCAACACCGGCAGCAACAGCAATAGCAACAGCAATAGCAACAATAAGAACAACAGTGCAACAAGGAAATAATATGAAATAATGACGACGACGGCGTCACTTGTAGACACCTGCAGTATGCGCCACACCGTACTCATTAGAACAATCAGCAACATTATCATCACCCTTTGCGCCATGACCGCAATCACTGCAACCAACGCTGTCACCGTGACAACATGTGTCACAACCATGAACCGTCACAAGAGCCAGCATCATCGCCATCATCGTCATCATCACATGAATGTAGATGTCGTGGCTGAGCCTTGGCGTGGTCCGGTGCCGAAGAACTCATCACAGTCAAAAACTATCCGCAACTAAGCAGAAGAAACTCGATGGGGGATTGGAAGCCGAACCAAAGGTCACGTGTGCAGTGTGCGAGCTTCAAACATTGCAAGAACAGGCCCGAAGAACATAGGTGGTCCAAGCATAGACCGACACCTATCCAATCCAGCAACCATAGACTGGGTTTCTTCAGCATTTAGGCATGTGGGGTTGTCGGGCTTATTCAGAATTCAGGTAGCAGTTACAATGGCGTTGTGAAGGCACTGAGCACGGGACTGTCGATGCCAACTTGTTCATCGCACGGCCAGCCTGGGAAAGCTGACTTACAGACAGATTTCCTCAGGCTTTTTCGCAGCTTAGTAGCAATTTGGAGGTGGTGCTTAATCAGTTTAATGTAGCTGCAGAGACACTCGATTACATTCTCTATCAAACAAACTGAAACATGTCGAAACCGCATCTTGCCATGCTTGTGCTTGCCGTGGGCTCCGCATTCAAGCAAGCACACCATGAATTTATGCCAAACGGGTGGGACGAAAGCCTCTCGGTCTCGTGCTCGAACCCTATCTATACTTTAG